AGTTGAATGAGTTTTTCTTTCAACTAATGGTTCTGCCAGGGCAGTAGAATAGGTTCCCAGATACAGACAAAAGATGGGAGATGGGTCCCTGATCAGCATCAGGAAGGATCATTAATAATTTGCTCGATTGATTTATCTTGGTATCCTGAGGGATGGAGCAAGGAAGGGCAAAGAATCCACACATAGACATGAGATCACAAAAGAGGGCTGGGTGAGGTTCTGGAGACAAGGCTATTCGCCAGGTGGCCTCTGAATAGACTTTAGAAATGTAGATACTTCACCTGGTGGAACTCATTGTCATTCCATGAGCATATCTCTGCTGGGTGGAGGGGAAAGGCTGGAAGTTTGCCCTGAGGTTGCCTTTATTGTCACCTGAGTATGAAATCCCTTTTTGCAGAGTACTTGCAGCCTGACTCTGTGGTTCAAGCTGAGAGTGCTTGACTTTTGGGGACTTTGATTCAGGTTGGAAAGTGGGGTGCCCCTGCTTTGGGGCTAACCAAGAGTAAAGGCAGCGCCTCTGGCAACACATGCAAAGGACACACTATTAGTTACCCCTCCCACCTCTGCACAAATCTCATGTATTTTTGAAGAGTTCTGTGATTCTCAAGAACATCTTCTAGGCAGGTACAAGAGGCTGCCATGGAAGCAGAGACATCAGGAAAGCCCCACAGTGCAAGTGACCACAGTACTCAGCTAATGGTTCTTTGAATACAAGTCAATATTTAGGGTAATTGAGATTTGTTAATGGTATCAGTAAGTGAAAATAAAACAACAAAGTGGCCATTTGACTTGACCCTGAATCAGATGAATCCCACATATTTCTGCCTAATTGCTTTATTGATAGTCACAGTGACTCTTTTACTAGGATGTGTATAATGTGTTTAAACCATCCTGACACAAATTACTACCAGTTCTAAAAATTGGCAGCTAGAAATTATAGTCTGATTTTCCAGACACAGAAAGCAGCCCAAGTTAATTATTACTTCCAAAATTAATGCAGCAGCAGCAAGAGTTCCTTGCCATTCAAAGGGAATTGAAGCTTTTATTTAAACACAGAGAAGATATTAAACTAATCCTCAGTTCCAAACTCTGTTGTACTTTGGGGTCAGCTGCGATGCTCTGAAATCATGTTGCATTTATAATTAAACAGGGGGAGGAAATAATTTTAAGCACATTTTCCATATCATAGTAATTTTTACAGCATTGCTAAGCATTTGACTTAAAATGATGTCTATTAGTAAAAAATAAACTCCCTTAGGGAAAGTAAGATTAATTTTGGCTTTACCAACAGACTGTATTGGTGCTACATCAGTATGACTTCAAAGGACTCATGAAAAGAAAAGATATTGTATGTAATTCTTGCTCCCATTATAATAATCTCCCTCCCCCTATTCCCCAGTGCTTGCACTATAGCAAAGCTGGGATCTACAAAAGGTATGCAGAACTAGTGTAAGTACTGAAAGCCTACATTTGAAACACAGAAAATGATAGCAGTTTGAAATATAGAACTTAGGGTTGCCAAACCCCCCTCCCCCGTTTACCAGGGGTCCCCTGTTTTTTTTTGGGGGGGTTCTACCCACCCCCGGCCAGATGGCCGGCGGGGGAAGCCCTGCCCCCAACACCCACACCTACCCCTCTCTCTCCCTTTAAGTGTGTGGAACCCGTGTTTCCTCCCAAGCCTGTGTTTCCTCCCAAGCCCGATCTCCGCTTGAGATCTGGGTTGCAAGGAAATGTCAGCTTCGTGCTCTGAAAAGGGAAACGCGGCTGCTCTTAAAGGGGAAACACCAGCTCCTGCATTTAAAAGGGAAACGCTGGCTCCTTTAAGTGCAGGAAACTGCCGTTTCTGGAGATCCGACGCGCGAGCGGGGGGGGGGGGAGTCCCCAACGTGTCGTCATCACGTCGGGGATGCCCCACCCCCTCCAGGAACGCCCCCAAAGTCCCCCACTGGGGGTGGAAGATGGACTTGGCAACCCTAATAGAACTTGATATTAATTTGAAATGTGGAAATTAACTGAATAACTCATAAAAAGGTTTGGTTTTCAAGTTGCTTACCAGACTTTTGCAGCCCTACTATAGAATATGTGATAATATAAGAGCATTTCTTATATTCCATTATATTGCCATGTGGGTAGTGAGGTAGGGCAATGGCTCTCCAGCATTTCAGGTGGAAGTCTTTCACATCACCTACTACCTGATTTTCTCTCTTTGTTTTTATAAGCTGGAAATGCCAGGGATTGAACCTGGGACCTTCTGCATGCCAAGCAGATGCTCTGCCACTGAACCACAGTCCCTCCCCCACAAAACAAAATATACTGGACAACTCCTGGATCTACTGGACCAGCTGAGTCATGGTCACATGCTAAAAGATTGTACCTCTGTCCATCGCCCCTGGCCTTTAATACCTGCAACTCAGAGTGGAAACGGGAGTTCAGACTTGATCGCTTACAGCTAGCAGTGCCCCAAAATTCCCCTCCCTCACTGTTTCATTCTGCTGGTAGGCAACTAAAATGCTAGTGAGTGGCAAATACTAACATGGCATTCTTTTATTCATCATGCCCCAGAATTTATACTTGTAAGTAAGAATGTACAAGTATTTTTTAAATTTTCATTTTGCTGCTGTTGTTTGAACCTTTTCTTCCACCCATATGTGCTGCTGGTAGGGTTGCCAAGTCCCTCCTGGCAACCAGTGGGGGATGGGGGGACTTATGTGTAGAAAGAAGAAGGTCTAGGCCATACTGCTGGCATTGCACAGGAAGTGACATCATCACACCAGCAACTTCTGGGCAAAAACTCTATGATAAAACCAGCTTCTACCACAGAGTTTTTGCCCAAATATCAGGACGTTGCTTGAAAGTCACAGACATGATGACATCATTTCCCATGTAATACTGGCAACATGGCCTAGGCCTTCTTCTTTCTACTGGTAAGTCCCCCCCAGCTGGCCACCTGATTGGCAGCTGGGGGGCAGGTCCTGGTGGTGAGGGACCCTTGCCTCTATGGGGGGGGAGGTCTGGACTCCAAGTTGCTGGTGTTCCTGATTCATTTATTCTTTTAAGACATTTTAATTCATTCTTCTAAGTAGAAGCTGATGCCTTTTTCTATCTTGTGCTTTCTGCTGGTGACAGCATTGAAGAGAAATTACTTCTCTACTGCAGCTGAAACCATTAATTCATATCCAGCTCAGTTATTTTTAATAATAATAATAATAATAATAATACTTTCAATTTATTAATCGCTTTCCCCAGTGGGCTCAAAGCGATGTACAGTTACACATTTTAGACAGGGGACTAACACTGTTCATAGAGCATAGGGAAGACAACATATATTCATTTAATTGCACACGCTGTGACTGCACGGTGTAAACGTCTTCTGGCTTGGCTCAGTCATTTTCCGAACGGCTGCTTTAGGGTAATTTGGTACTTATTGACTCCAAGATGTAATGTTTTTGTGTAATTTTTTTGCTGACAAAATCTCTTAGATCCACTTTGGTTAGAATGGCAGTTTATCAAGAACTGTCTCCCTTCTTGAACTCAGGAAATCTGACCATGTTGATCCGTGCTTGAGTAATCTCAATGCTTGACTATTATAACACACAGCATGTTGGGCAGCCAGGCTCCCCAAGTACTTACCGTGATTCAGCGGGGGACACAGACGTCTTCTCAGGATCATTCCCGCGGGGACAACAGATGCGCTGCAGCATGCCATCGCCAGGAAGTGACGCCGGGCGATGCTCTGGCAATGGGGCTGGAAACTCGATGGTACCATCGAGTTTTCAGCCCCATTGCCAGAGCGTTGCCCAGCGTCACTTCCTGGCAATGGCATGGTGCGTTACAGGGAGGAATGGTCCGGCCGGGGACCATGTTTCCCCCGTCGGATCGCGGTAAGTACTTGTGAACCCTATGGGCAGCCCCTGAAAATCATCTGGAAATTACAACAATTTTGTAATGCAGCAGCCTGCCGCTTATTATAAGGAAATTGTTCTTTGCATGGTACTCCCATTCTAAATTATTTGCACTGGCTACTTATTTGTTTCTTCACTTTAAGGTGCAGGTGCTTCCTTTTAAAGCTCTTTGTGACTAGGGACTGCCTCTCCCTGTATGAACTTGTGCAACAGCTGTAATAGACACACAAATCAATCTCTCCTTTCTGTGTCTTCCTTTATTCAGCAGGTGCCTGCTCTCAGGCTTTCTTTGTAACAGCTCTAGTTTTATGGAACGTCCTCCTAGAGATCACAAGGAAGGCCCCTACTCTAATGGCTTTCAGATGAAGACATAAAAGCAATTTATTTAATAGGACTTATGAAACCAAAACTGGTCTTAAAGTTATTCTTCTGAGCTGGCTTTAGTTATATTGTTTCAAACATGTATTTATTGTTTAAAAAAACTGTTATCTACCAATCGCTTGAGAGAAAGGTGAACATCTAAAAATTTGCATAAGTAAGTAACTGTCCCATTTTTGTTCCTTGGGAACATACAGTACACTCCTAAGCAGAAATAAACCCTTCTATGGTCCCGTTCACACGAGGCGATTTGGCCCGGGAGCGGGACAGTTCGGGGGCAGATCAAACCAGCGCGATCATACCAGAACATCTGGGAAGCGTCGTGATACCGTCCCCGAACTGGCCCTTTCCCGGCAAAATGCGCCTCAACCTGCAACCACCTACCTCGGTGGTTCAAGTGGAAGCGGCGCGTCAAGCTCCGACATGCGCAGTTCGGCCGGCTAGGCGTCCGACCTGTGTTTTCTCCCCGGCGTTTGATCGCGCCGGGGAGAAAAGGCGCCGCAGCCAGGGGATCCGTGGGATCCCACCGCGGCGTCTCAACGTTGGCACGGCTTTTAAAAGCCGCGCCTTAAGAGGCTTTTCCCCTGCCGTGTGGCAGGGGCCCTAGTCCACTGAAATCAATGAGCTTAGAAGGCTGTAACTCCATTTAGAATTGCACTGCTAGACGGTGTTTCTTTTGTTTCAGCACTACTCACATTTTTTTCCTTTTACAAATTGTAGGTCAGTAGAGTAAAGAAAGGGGTGGCACAAACAAGAGAGCATCGCGTCCTGATCATGGTGGTTGTGATGGTCATTTGCTTTCTGCTGTGCTGGCTACCTTATGGGATTATGGCACTGATAGCAACTTTTGGGAAGCCTGGTCTGATTACTGCATCTGCCAGTATCATCCCTTCCATCCTCGCAAAGAGCAGCACAGTCTACAATCCAGTCATCTACATATTCTTAAACAAACAGGTAAGCAGAACATGTTGTCATGACATAAAGAAGGGCACAATAAAACTGTTTCTAATGCAGACTGTTTTTCTAATAACCATTTGTGTTGAACAAATGATGGTGGTAAATAAAATACTCGTATTTGTATCAGCTGAGGACTTAGTCCAGAAAACCAAATTATGAAAATCCAGTACATAGATAATGGGTCATATCAAACAGCTGTTTTCTTTCTTTTCTTTTTGATATTTTGTGTGTGTGCATGCGTATGTGCTTGTGAGCCTGGAAGTCATGGTGACTTCTGGTGAACCCCTAGTGGGGTTAGGTCGTTTCAGAGAGATGGCTTGATATCACCTGCCTCTGTATTCCTTGGAGGTCTCCCATCCAAGCACTTGCCAGGGTCAGCCCTACTTAGCTTCCAAGATCTGATGGATCGGGCTTCCCTGGGCTATCCAGGTCAGGGCTCAAACAGCTGCTTTCTCTCACCACCAACAGGGCACTTCTGTCAGTAGGAATTTTGCCAATTCCCCCCTCTCATAGCAGACCCCTAACAGAATGGCCAGCAGTGTTCCAGAGAGTCCCCTGGGCTGACTTTCAGGGGTCATGATGCACTGCAGGACAGGAGAGTCATAGTCAATCCCATGAACAGAACTTTGCTCACCTAGTTTTGGGTAAAACCCAACTGCTAGTTTTTAAATAGCTCATGTTTTTAGTGGCCAAAATGATGCCATGAAAAATAAACCAACGAAGAACTAGTCAAGGAAGCATAAGAACTTGCCCAAGTGAATGAAGACGATGTCATTGGTGTTCCTTTAAAAGAGCCAATGTGATGTAGTGCTTAGAGTGCCCGACTAGAATCTGGGAGACCCAGGCTCAGTTCCCTGCAGCGCCATATGGAAGCCTGCAGGGTGACCTTGGGCCAGTCACAGACTCTCAGCCTAGCCTGCCTCACAGGATTCTTGTGAGGATATAATGGAGGAGGGAGGAATGTTGTTGTGAGCCACTTTGGGTCCCCACTGGTGGAAAAGGTGGGATATAAATGAAGCAAAGCAAATAAATAAATACGGTATGGGAATCCAGACTTTTGAACATCAATGGCAGCTTTCAAAACAAATCAAACGTACAGTTTTGCAGCACTGAAAAGGAAGCAGTAACGTAAGAAGAGCGCTGCTGAACTGGTTTTGCCTGCAAGTTATAGTAATTGGCAGGAAAGGAAATGAGAGTGACAGACACTTTTCATGGCATTAAAGTGAAATGCTGACATTGACAATAAGGCACCTTGGAATCCTTCACTTTTCTTGAGCATAAGAACAGAATTTGAGTCCAGCAGCATCTTAAAGCAAAATTTTCCAGCCTGTAAGCTTTTGTATTTTGTTTTATTACTAACATGGCTACCCACATGAAACTTTTCTTGCTAAAATACTTTGAGTTGGGTATAGGAAAATTAATAAATGGCTCTGTGGCATATATACTTAGTCTTTAAAGAATTATTAAAAAGTAAACAAAAATAATCATTAATAAAAAGAGTGAAACCTCACAAAAAATGTCTCTCAGGAATTCATATCCTCTGGTGACGTCTCACAATTATCAAGGAAGATTTTCTATAAGATACAACAACCTCTATTGTAATACACATTCCATATTACTTATACATATCATCTTACAAAATATTTAGAATACAAGTTGGAACACTTTCCCTATGAGGAAAGGTTAAGGCGCTTAGGGCTCTTTAGCTTGGAGAAACGACAACTGAGGGGTGACATGATTGAGGTTTATAAGATTATGCATGGGAAAGAGCAGGTAGAGAAAGAGGTACTTTTCTCCCTTTCTCACAATACAAGAACTCGTGGGCACTCCATGAAATTGCTGAGCGGTCGGGTTAGAATGGATAAAAGGAAGTACTTCTTCACCCAAAGAGTGATTAACACTTGGAATTCACTGCCACAGGAGTGGTGGCGGCTACAAGCATGGATGGCTTCAAAAGGGAATTAGATAAGCATATGGAGCAGAGGTCCATCAGTGGCTATTAGCCACAAGGTATAGATAGGGACTCTGGGGCAAGTGATGCTCTGTCATCTTGGTGCTTGGGGGGGGGGGTCAACAGTGGGAGGGCTTCTAATCTCCTGGCCCCACTGGTGGACCTCCTGATGGCACTGGTATTTCTGGCCACTGTGGGATACAGAGTGTTGGACTGGATGGGCCTTTGGCCTGATCCAACATTGGCATCTCTTATGTTCTTATGTTCTTAACTTACATACATAGACTACTCACCAACTCATAACAGCTGTAATGTGTAGTAGAACCTGCCATAGGCATAGATGATTGTAATGCTTAATCAGGTAAGGCTCATGTAGACATTGTATGTTATTTTAACATGAATCCTGTCATAACTTAATGTTAATTGTCAATTCCTTATAGGGATTCTTTCACAACCCAGGTTCAGCTAAGGGGCTAATGAAATCCTAATGTCTAACAGGTGAAGCTTCTACTTAGTGCTATTCCTCTCATCAGGGGTTGCCAACTACCAGGGAAACTATGCTTCCAAACTGGCATGCTGAACCCTAAAGATATCCATATCAAATTAACTGAAAGTAACAGATGTTATAAGTAACTAATTCAGTCTAGATATGCATACAGACCTGCTGAATTCTTTATGAGAATTTTTCCACAATCCAGGTGCAGCTAGGGGGCTATATGTTGTTTTAACATGAATCCTGTCATAACTTAATGTTAATTATCAATTTCCTTATAGGGATTCTTTCACAATCCAGGTGCAGGCAAGGGCCTCATGAAATCCTAATGTATAACAGGTGAAACTTCTACTTAGTGCTATTCCTCTCATCAGAGGTTGCCAACTACCAGGGAGACTGTGCTTCCAAACTGGCATGCTGAACCCTAAAGATATCCATATCAAATTAACTGAAAGTAACAGATGTTATAAGTAACTAATTCAGTCTAGATATGCATACAGACCTGCTGAATTCTTTATGAGAATTCTTCCACAATCCAGGTGCAGCTAGGGGGCTGATAAAATCCTAATGCTTAACAGATAAAACTCCTACTTAGAGCTATTCCTCTCAACAGAGGTTGCCAACTACCAGGGAGACTATGCTTCTAAATTGGCATGCTGAACTCTACAGATATTCAGATCAAATAAACTAAGAACAACAGATGTTATAAATAACTAGTTAGGTCCAGAGATGCATTCAGACCCGCTGGATACACAGTGTTTAGTTTAAAGATCCAATATGCTTCGCGCCGCAAGAGTACTTGGTGGATGTCTTTCCTATAGTACCTGTTTGTCTGGATCACTTCTATCACTGTAAAGTTGAAATCATCATGACTATGTCCCATACTAACAAAATGGTCCACGAGAGGGGCTTCCAGATGTTTATGTTTAATTTTGGACTTATGCTCTAAAATACGGGTCTTGACTGCCCGAGAAGACTCCCCCACATACCTTAACCCACATGGGCAGGTTATTAAATAAATGACCCGCTTCGTGGAACATGAAGAGTAACATGTCAATCCCTTCCTATAATTGATCTCTGGACAGTCTAGCTATTTTGTTTCTTTACTTAAAAAACACGCTGCACATCTTAGGCATCTAAAATGACCTTTAGGTGTATCAACCGCAAGTGCGCTTGAACGTAGGTCGGCATGCACTAACAGATCTTTAATGCTTGTGGTCTTCTGAAAGCCTATGTTAGGTTAAGTTTTGCATCCTGGTATATCTCCCACGATATGCCAATGTTTTAAAACAGAGAATTCCTGAGAGACATTTTTTGTAAGGTTTCACCCTTTTTATTAATGATATTATAACAAGTTATATAATGTCCAGACTTTCAAAGATGTATATTGTTGTATTTATAAGGTCCTACATCTTTGTTCAGAAGATCTTCCTTCGAAACGGCAAGTCATTCTGGAGATCACCGTCAATATATTTTTCTATGATTATGTATATTATTTTTGTTCACTTTTTAATGATTCTTTAAAGACATATATTAAGTGTCACTTTTTCACAGTTTTTCTTTCCGTATTATCTCATAACTGTGCCAATCAATTGTTACTATATATACTTAGTCTGCCAGTGGATCCATTTCATTCTTCTAACAGAATATGTGGCACTGACATCTTCAGAGAGTTAATTCTTTTGGTAATTTGATCCTCATGGGAAGTGACAACATGCTCAAAGTGCAAGACCATGTGTTTTGTCTATTTTCTATATATGGATATTTTGATAGATGGTGTTCATCATTATAGGCTGTGGTCACACATACTAAATGACACACTTCCAATCCACTTTCAATGCACTTTCCATCTGGATTTTGCCAGTCCACACAGTAAAATCCAGTTGGAAAGTGCACTGAAAGTGGATTGAAAGTGGATTATTTCATGTGTGTGACCACAGCTATATTGATCTTGGGCCAGTCACAAGCTTTTAGCCTAACCTACCTTACAGTTTGTTTCAAGGTTAAAGTGGGAAAGAGAACCATTTATGAGAGCTCCTTACAGGAAGGATGGGATAAAAATGCAATAACAATGAAGTAGATTATTCAAACAAACAAACAAACAAACAATTGTCTCTGTCCCAAAAGCTATCCCAGAACACCAAAAGCTCCCAGGCATCCATATTAATTTAACTGGGCTTGCATGCCCTAAATCTCTGTGTTGAGTCATTATCCTGCAGTTTCTGTTTTGAATGCTTTGTTGGTATTTATATCTCTCAGTCTTTCCAGGTCATCAAGACTGGCTATATGTGTGTGTGTTCATGCACATACTGTCAAAGATCCATCATAGCAACCTAGTGTGTGAGGATTTTGTAGCACTTGATTCTTTTTCTTTCATTACTGCCACCTTGAATTTTCCACCGAGACGTGGTCCATTCACCTAGTCTTTCTAAAGTGACAATATTTTTAAGAAAAGAGGCTATTTTAGTGAAAATGTTTTGCATCAAATCACCATATTTGGATCTGAACTTCTGAACCTGATGTGCCAGTCCCACCTTCTGTGTCCTTCCCAAA